TTTTTAAAGATATACTGCTACGTTTTCACAGTAATCACGTGATTGTACGTTCATTGTTCGTCTATTGATTCGACGATGTTTATCACGTTACCTGTTGCTTATACAGGTGCTCGTCATTTTTGTGATATAATCGTAACCATGCGAAATAAAATCAATGCAGGCGATGTATAGTGATATTAGGGTTGCACATCTCGGGGAGCTATCAAATACGTTTTTTACAAACATTATTTAGGTTTTAAACGGGCCAGGCTCAAAAACAAAAAAATCAAATTTTCGTAAATAAAAACATGATAAATAATTAAAATTAATAATGTACAAATAAAACAAACATCCATAACTATGGATTAACATGCGTAGAATTACAGTGCGTTTTAAATTATTTGAAGTACATACTATGAAATTAACAAGAAAACACGTAATTCCTTGATGTTTTTCCGTAATTTTACTGCGAGGTGGGGGTGTTTCGAGCACATTTACTTATTTTTGATGTAAAATATAATGTAGTTTTAGACATTGTATTGCGATACGAGTAAACCTACTTAAGAACTCGGAACAGTTGTTATTTCTAGCGAAAAGCTAATAAGAAAAGTATGAATCTAAACGAAAACGAGGTGCTGTTGGTTACAAAAAGATAAATAATTTATTGATTTTTGTTCAAGTTAAAGTAAACGTAAAAAGAAATTTTTTTGCTCTGGTTATAGACTATTTATATGCGTTAAATCGTTAAACGTTATTGTAGCATTTTTTCTAGTTTAAATTCAAAATCTGATTGCTATTATTGAGTTAAAATATTTACTACTAGAACGTATCAAACAACATAATATGGATTTTAGAGCAAACTCTTCATTAAAGTCATATTGATTTTGGTGAATGAAGATCATGATTTTTTGACTTGTTGTTAGACTGTCAAATTTGAATTTGATATAAAAAAAAAAAAAAATACAAAATACATGCAAAAAAAAATTAAGCAAACTATTCTTATTATATAGCTTAAATTATAATAATTTTATTAAATTTAACTGTTTGCGTATCACTTTAGTATACAAATACATGGTAATTAACAGTAGGAATCAACAGTATATGGTTTTATCGACATCAAAAATAAATATGTACCTATATAATAATATTATACACTACTATAGGTGATGCATCACTTTAATTAACCAAATACTTAAAATCTAAATTGTTTTCTAGATGAACCAAAATAAATCTCTACACAGCAATAATTAGAACAACATCAACATGTGGATATGAAGTGTTGCTTTTAACAAACAGAATAGAATAAAAACTTATGTCATTTGAAAACCAAATACTTAAAAATATCTGCGGTTCAGTGATAATGTATCCAGTATGACACTGAACTGGGATGCTGAAGTAGAAGGAGGAATAAAGAGATTCGATATTAGACAGTAGTTCCAAGGATAACCAACTTTATGAAAGCACAAAGAATCAAATGGTTTGGGCACGTGATAAGGAAGTCAGACTTAGAGTACCTTAAAGCAATGATAGAGTTGAACCCCGCAGGGAAGTGACCAAGTGGACGTCTAGAAAAGTGATGAGTATGTGGAAACAGAACTAAGAGAAACTAGGGATATCTAATTAGGAATGAAAAGTGAAAAATAGGGAAAAATGGAAAGAGGTATAGGAGCGGCAAAAACTCTTGAAGAATTGTAATGCCCGTTTGTGTGAGAGAGTGAGAGTGTGAGAGAGAAAGATAGATGCGATGCGATTAATATTGAAATGAGAACACAAGTCTAAAGAAAATAAAAAATATAGAATACGAATTACAGTGGTTACATAATATAATGTGTGTATACGTTTTCCCGGGTCCTTGTTAAGTATATTTTTAATTAATCGTATAGTTCTTCATAAAATATTAAAAGAAACTCGACAGGCATTGGGATGAAATAAATAAACAATATTAAGAATGATAAAAAATAAATGAGTAAATAATAATCTTCGTTAAATATGTAACACGCACTACGTACGTACGCTCCTTTCCATGTGTTATATTCACGTCAAAAATGACATAAGCATCATGTTTATGTTATACGAAATAATATAAACATCGTATACAGCGAAAATAAAAATAATATATGTCCACCCTTGATTGTATAGGATTTTATGTAAAGGTACAATTTTTTAATTAGTTTATGAACGAGTAAAAGGGTTTTTGTTTATGTTTCACCCTTAAATTAAGATAATTTACCCGAACTGACAAAGATAACATTAGTCTTATAATATTGTTCTCATACGCTTTGTTTGTAAACGTTTTCATAGTAACCATACACTCGCGTATTATTATTTGATCACTAATGTATCAGGTCTTTAGTAGTATTTTATCTCATACGTACGTATAATATTAGGTTGGTGTAATATTAGGAACGCACGCGCTAGTGTACAATAATGCGTTTTGACTTGGTTAGATCAAAAATCGGTTGTGTTGTACCAGGGCGGATTTAGAGGGGGCGAATGGGCGAACTCCCCTCCCCCCCCGTTCAACGTAACAGACTTTAGTTTTTGACGTTATTACTTTAAGGGTAAATAGGAAAATATTAAACTATTTTTTTTATACCAAACTTATGCTGGTACTATGTTATCACTTATATTTATTATTTGGTAATATACTGATATCACAGTTATATACTACTATCATAATGTTAAATATTCGTAATCAAGTTTTGTGTTTGTCGGTGTTTCCGAAACGTGATAACTGATAACGACCAACGTAAAAATCGTTTGGTAATCAACAAATTTGTAATTATAAACTCTATTGTTATGACTCATATTGGTATAACTAAAAAAAATTAATATTATAATAACTATATAATTTTTTTTTAAGACTTTTTTTATTCAAATAAATGACCTATATCAAAATTAATATTTTTAATTTTATCTAAATAAATATCTATATCATGTATGTCCGTTAAAATCGCTTCCCCTCTCCCCCCCCCGTTATCTTGGTTTGAATCCGCTCTTGTGTTGTACGCGCAATATAAAACCTCACGAGGTTACGTTACGCGATGTTTTGTTAACTTATCTATTGATTGTTAAAATATTTTAAATTATTCAGATGTGTATTTTACACTTTTGAGCAAAATAATAGCAGTAATAATCAGACACATTAGTTTGCAGGGTTATAATATTAAGATTTTTTATGAAAAATTGAACTAAATGCAAGCGTACAAATAATGAGTTAGTGAAAATTATTCGGTTTTTATTTTTCGCCCAATTATTGAATTATCGTAAAACTGTTGTTTTGTCGTTATTGTAGCGCGTAAAGTGTATGTGGATGTTTACATTCAATACGAAATCAAATTAGGCAAATAAAACTTTCGAAACATTTTTATAGCACTATAATAAATGGTTTTTTCGATGTAAAAAAATAAACGAATAGAAACTACAGCATCCCTGTGATACTATTATAATAATTTCTCAGCTCTAAAGCAATCGGAATAAGTGGTATGTGTCTGGGGGGAAAAAAAACAATTAAAACGAGCGACTACGGATAGCTCATTTGCATGGTAAATTTTCTGAGAATGATGGAACGTTTTTCCTTTTCGAAATCAATATGATAAAGTTACGAAGGAACATGTTCTACTGCTCCGATTTTTAATGTTTGCTACGATTTATGACCACGGCGCGTGGATGTATAATTTATTTGCTTTTCATTGGTGTGCCGAGGAGGAACTGTTTAGGGTTCAAACATTCCTCTCCATCTTGATATTTTAGATTTCTTTTTTAAGATTAATATCATCACAAAGAAGTGTCCGGTGTGTAAAGCTCCGCGCTACAACCGTCCAAAACGGAATGCCGGTGCGGCGCGTTCGACGACGATCGGAAAAATTGGTACGCGCGACTCATGTCATCGTACGATTCACGTACGTTCGGATAAACCGATATTTGTTCATGAAAAATCCGAAGAACGATGCGAAACGACGTTGGAACGAATGGCGAAAAAATATTAAAAAAAAAAAAATTCATCTTTCCGTTATGCATCGCGCCAATGACGGAAACAACGCGAAAAACGTCGTAGTTGGCCGAAACGATTTACAGCGCTCGGAGGGATAGCGTGCAGCCAGCGGACTATTGTAAATAACGTAAAAGATGGAAAAAAAAGAGGAAAAAAAAAATAAATAAAAAAACACGTGTCGGATCGTCGTATGTTTTTTCATCCGCGGCGACACGTTTTCTTCCGATCCGAGAACGACGATTGTTCACGATACGACGACGGCGGCACCGTAATGACGCAAATCGCGACCCGGACTCGTAGGAGTTTTCTCCGGGCGAAATATCCGTCTGAACGAACTTCGGACGGTTTCGAATAAACGCAATTTTTCAAGTCAGAACCGGCGACAATTCGGCTCCGCCGTCGGCTTTCCACTCGGAGGGGCTTTAAATGTTTGAACCGAACGGACCGAGACGGTGCCGAAAACTTCACATGAACAGCGAAACAAGGCATCCGTTTATACGGTGCGATCTAGCCAAAGGAAATGTTTACGACAACGTTTTCTGAGAGTGGTAAACGATTGAATGAAAAAGCACGACCACGTTCATCGTATATGCGTTAGATAATTACTAGGTGCACGATTTAATACTAGTTTCAGAGTGGCTGATTTCAAATCTTGGAAGGAGAATTACTTCCTCCCCCATCCCTCGTATCATACCTATGGTTTTGTTTGCAACTTACTGACATGGTTTCGCATTCAATCGGTCGTAAGAGCATAGGTAGATTATAATTGTAATAACACGTACTTCCGTCAATCGGTGCATAAAAAACATAACGGTATGCTTTGAAGACTTAGATTTGACTCTAGTGGTTTTATTACAAACTACTTTCTACCATTCGTATTCACGAGTTTAAATTTTACGTTATGTAGGTGCAGAATTATAATTCACCGGCGACCGTCTATTGACGGTGACGTGCAATTTTTTATTTATTTATTTTCCATATCAAAACCATACATCCAGTCGATGTATATTATAGTAGAAAGACTTACCTGTTGAGGGTGATTGCGACCAATGTAAACACAGACGTAGCGACCGTACAGTAAGCAATGAAGTTTGACGCCATACACAATTCCAGACCAAACGCCCAATCGGAATTGAGCATGTATATTAAGTTCGGTACGCAGTTAAGCGAAGCCATCAGAAGATCCGAGATGCTCAGACTAACCATGTAACAGTTGGTTACCGTTCGCATACGTCTATGAGCTGTAAAAAAAAAAATCGTTTTGTCCATTAACAAAAATCATCAGTTTGACGGTACCAAGCGATGTGGTACAGGATGGATTTCAAAAGCATCACGATACTGAAATTAATGTATCGTCTAAACTGTACATAATATAAATGGGTTATAGGGTAACAGAGCCAGCGAATGAACACCTAAGGATTTTTAAACCTTTAAACTAAATAACTCTATGGAATTCAGAATTTCTGGCCATAAAATATATTTGTATTATGCATCAAAATGTTATGCAACATAAAATTCATATTTTGATTGTGTTAAAACAAATTATGTTTTTAAAAAAGTCAATCATAAAAAAAAAACAAGTTTTCCTAGTGAATGAACAAATCGTCCATTAAATGAATACCAACACTCCTGTAAATGAACACTGATATTTACTATTATATATTCTTTTTTTATCTACTTTACGTATGATTTAAAAATATGATCTTTCCGTATTATAACATATTATAACAAATATTTATACGTATTTATATAAATATTTCTTCTGTCCGTGTGTATGTCACTGAACTCTTAAACGTCCGGACTGATTTTTATGAAATTTTGTGTGTGTGATGATTTTGATGTTGTTTGAGAATGATTTAGGTTTACGATTTGATCCGATACAATTTGTTTTTCACTCGCACGGAACAGGTTTTTTTTTTTGGAGAGCTTAACAGGAGAACGTCTGTTGAGTCCGCTAGAATTATATATTTTAATTTAATTTTGTAATATTATTTTAAATTATTTATTTATTTATTTATTTTTTGTGTTAACATAGAATAATACATTATATTAAAATCGGCATATTTCAATACGCATAAAATGAAAATAGAAAAAAATCAATTAAATAGTTTCAAAAAAAAAAAAAACATAATAGATTCTAAATTGTCATTGGTTAACTAGAATATCACGCTTTGGGCAATACTAATTATACTCGATGGTAATAATACAATGATAACTTGACAAACAAAATAATTGTGTGTAGAATAATAATATGGTTTATACTAGGGGCATCAACAAATCTCTAAATAGATCCGTTTACAACTTCTCAAACTTCCCGTGGTCCAATACATTTTCAATTACTTTTTTTCACACATCAACAATTTATAAAAATTACGCATTTTATTTGTATCAAATTATTTTTATTTACAATTAAAAAAGAAACTATTAAAAAAAAATATTAAGTATTATATATTGAATTTAATTTGAGTATACATATATATTATATACAAAATATAAGTCATAAGGTGTATTATTGTTTTTCTTGAATCATTCGATTCTGTACAGTAATATAACACTATAATATCGTTCAATAATCCGGGGTATTCAATAAAACTAATGAAACGACCACGTGGTCACATCTATTTTGAAGTGTAACAAAATAATAATTAAAACGTATAAATTATAACATTAATAAAGAGTGGTGTGATAAATGTCTATAAAATATTAATATAATATATTATGTTGGAAAGAAAACTTCAATTTGAATATTTTCCAACATATTCTCAACCAAAGATAGTGCTCATATGTCGTACGCGTTATAAATGGATAATTAATTCTTAAATCTTGTTTCGGTAAGTATCAATACACCCGGTACTTTAAGTCACATAAACTTAAGATGTAAATTCATTGCTTTTTCCCACTGAATATATAAATCCAAGTTTTTAACACAAATAATACTATTATGTGCATTACATTTGAAATAATAAGTTTATTGTTTAATTTTTTGGTGTCACGATTTAGTACAAATGTTATTTTCAAAGTGTTTTTAATCTTGTTCCTCTCGATTCGATCGAATTAGTCGAAAAAACCATACATCGTATACAGGGATGATTCTATTGTATCAAAATAATCGTCCTCAATACATCCCTTATCGGCTATATTTCGGTTTATCATTATAGTGTTTTTATCGAAATGTTAACTCATATATTAATAACGGTATGGAAAAAATGCGGTTGTCGGACAACACGAATACAATTTTTATATTATTATTTTACATATGTGTATACGATGCCAATGCAATATACACATACTAAAATGGATAATATAATACATTTTGTGCAGATGCTTATGTTTTTATTGTTCATTCGGATTATCATATTAACAATTGAAAATGTATGTTTTAAATTCGATTTCTTCAAATGTTTATGAAAGTTAGTACATAACTAGCTTAACTAGCATAACTAACTTCAGCCACGACACCGTGGGTACAGGTCAAAGTTAAAGCGAAATGAAAACAAACTAAAGACTAACGTTCATAACCCAGTAATATTACCATAATCTATATGCTCTGTACGTTGGATCGGATTAATTTAATTCAGTCTGAATCAATATTTTTTTGAATGATTTTGGTCCGGGCCTGGTTTAAATTATAATAATTTCGGTTCAGTCCGGTCTGGACCGATCGGTCCCAATTAGTTTAAAATGTACGGCTAATATTACGGCTTGTTTTAAATCTAATATCTATTGAACAACGATTTAAAATTATTAAGACATTATTTATAGAATTAATAACACGAATACTATCATTATGGCCCATGGGAATCAATATTTTACCCAGCACCGTTGTTTTATATAAATCGTATGTACAATCATGTATATTATACATATCTAAAAGTTGTTCATGGTACCTAATGGATATTAAAATAATTTATTATCCAACATATTTTCAAGAAAAATTATTATTATTCTCGTTACGGTGCGGGTAACGTGCAATATTGTGAAAGTGACACGCCTCGCCGCGCCGTCCAAATATATAAATGTATAGAACTGCCAATGAAATACTCGCACATTATGATCTTGATTTATATTAATTATAGTTTATCTATAGATTATTTTGGGGAACGGAAATTGGAAATGAAATGTGTACTTCTAATTTCTATCAATTCTTCTCGATGATGCCGGTAAGCGGTAATACTTGGAAAATAGTCGATTAGCCAGGCCAGATTGCAAGTAGTTTGATATTTCCACGTAAAATTCTTTGTAAAAATAATTAATACTTAATAATGAGCAAGGCTCGGAACTTTAAGCATTTGTATATTTGTCTAGAAAGTGCATATTGAAATTCTGATTCGATACAAATTCGATTCATAGTATGTATATTTCAGATATAAAAAATTTTGTTGCATAATTTTGCATATTTTGTTACTTTTTGTACCAATTCGCATATTTTGGGTTTAAGAACATTTATATGCATATTTCATGGATTTAACAAAATTTTTAAAAAAAAAATGTATAGTTTAATAATATAATATAAGATATATAACAACCAAAATTCTAAGTGTTTGACAAAATAAATTAATTCATCAACGGCTATTATTTGTATTGCTTCGGCTCCCGATGCATTTAACAATAATATTATAATCTTTATAGTATCGAGAACTCGTAATAGTGACCACCGCTGGCCCGTATTTATTTTTATACAAATTTACCAGTGTATTAATATTTTTAACATGACATAAACAAATTGTATAACCATAGGTAATTCGTAAACAATTATCTAACTTAATGTATTAGCTTATACACAATATTATTTCTGTTCGTTATAATACTGCATATCTACATCTGCATGCAAGCGACTTCATTGTACAGTGTACACTAGTCAGTAGTCGGTTTATTATTTTTTAAGTAATTATTTTCCAATTTTTTTACTGCATATTATACCGCATATTTTGATGTTTTTTAACGCATATTTCAGTATTTTTTAGCGCATAAAGTTCCAAGTCTTGATAATGAGATAAACACGAGTATAGTATAGTGTAGTATGTAGTATATAGTATAGTATCTCGTATATACCTAATATACCTATACTAAAATATAAATTTATTATACTCTATTTTCATGGTGCAATATTTTTTTAGTTTGAATCGTTTGTCCGCTCTGTTATGCTCTATACTTAGGGTCTTGTATGGTAAAAAAAAAAAAAATAGGTCCGCGGTCCGGTTCGGTTCGGTCCATAAGCTTTAACTGTCCGAAATGTATTAGTTTGGACAGGCAGTTCGATTTCGGTCCACTCTAATAAATTATTTTAAATTTTTAATCCAGTCCGGTCTAAAATTAAAACAGCAATCGGTTCGGTCCGACTTCGATCCATTTCTAACATTTTCAGTCCGGTTCGGTCCCTCAAATTACAGACCAGGCAGCGATAACCCCCTCCTCTTAGGATTTTAATTGTTCGTTATCACGTCATCCTATGCATAAACCTAACGAATCGGTGTACGCGTGCAACGGATCAACAGTGAGTAGTACTGGCTGACGGATTGACGACGCGAGTAAGAGGCGGCTGGTCGTCTGCGATATCCAAAGTTGTACTTAACCTGATCTTACGCTCAAACGAGTTTAAACGCTGTACTCAGAGCACGCTGAGTATTGCAGTACACCTTGCACTGTTGAGTTTTCCAACTTTCCGAAATCGTTGAACGCGATAAAGTCAAAAGTGTAAAAAATGTTTATTTTCCATACGGTGTACCGCGTGAATATTATTATGAAAATGTATAAACATATTAACAAATAGTTTTTACACGAAATCAAATAAATAAATGAATTAATTAATGCTTGGCACGGAACTTTATTTTTGGGGACCAGAAGTTCGCACCGTAAAAGTGTAGGCGATCAGCGCTAATCGCCGAGCGAAGCTATTACACACACACACACACACATAATTGATAATCCTCTTAATATTATGTAATGTAAACATATGTGCCACGCCTGTGAATCGTCTTTTTCGTGTGTGTGAATTTTACTTTTGTCGTCTCACGTCAACTAGTGTACTATTGTCCAGCAATTTTTTGATGCATTCATTAAAAACATGCAAGTGTATGAAATTCCAGGCCTCAATTATTAAATTTGTATTGATATATTATTATAAAAATTATTAAATTTGTAAAGTATGACCGATTTCGAATTAAAACTCGTCGTCAGATATATACAAAGTAAATAAAATCACGACTCATTGATTTATATTGACTATCGTAAAATGAGAAGG